AAAGAGGCTATGGTCTAGCCAACATTTGTGCCGAGTTTCATTAGTATTGAATCATTTTTCTCAATTTCATAGCTGTTTGAACTTGTAACAGGAGGCTTTTCAATGAAAACGGCCATTTCTCACAATATGCTCATGAGGTAAAGGGTTAAATGATTAAGTTACTTTTCTTCATGAGAAATGTAATTGAGGTATTTTTGTATCAAATGTCATTGAAAAGAAAATTGCTCTTATGTTTGCTGCTGATGTGTCTAGCTTTTCTCACACCGTTGTGAATCTACAGCAGCAAAAACATTATATTTAAGATTATTGTAAATCTTTTAATGTGAAGATAAACCTAAATAAAACGAAGATCATTTGGGTTTAGATACGTATAGATCTCCCATGATATCGGTGATGACTAAAATCCCATTTATATGTTTAAGCAACGCTTATTTTATTGTTATTCACAAAACTGGCATAATGCCGTTGATTCTTAAACAAAAGCTTTGAATTACAAGTACTTTAAAACTTAACTTAATGTTGAAAGATATTTAAGTTTAGGTTTAGCATACGAGTATATTTCTAATTTTCGATGTTCATGTCATAGTCATATGGTAGAATGAGCTAGACATATTTGAATAAATAGAGATCAATGTAAGAGATGAAAGATATTGCATTCATTGCTTATGCTATTGAGGATGAATATCATTATTTTTCCTCGGATGTTCTCTATTATACGTATATATATCAAAACTGTCTAATTTTAAAGACACATGGTTACCTCATTACTCCCATTATTTAATCTATTCCCTGATGCCATCAACAATAAAATATGAAGAAATATCAGTTGCTTAATGTTTATATCATGACATTAATATTAGAAAGAATGAGCTTAATTCTGTATAACCATTTAATAAATCAATCCATAACGTAAATGCAAGATCAGAAAAAGCAGATACATTATATATAACATTGGTTTTTGGTGAAATATTTCTATTCAAGATCGCAATTATAGATGCTTTTAAAATTTTGACTTGTGAAAAGAAATCTTAACTCAAAATCGAAATATCAAGATTCCTACTTAGTTAACAAAGACACGAATATGTATCTAAATGACGAAATCTCATCCATTTAGTTAAGGAAAGTAAGGAATATCAGTGACAATAAATGCAGAGCTAAACTTAACGCTGTATGTTTGACATATTCAATGCTAAAATAGTTTGACTAATATCTGATCCACTTAAGTCTATCCTTTATATTATTTATATATGAATTTTGAATTTGAATATATCACTCTATTGTTTGATTGTATTGCTGTACTTTGTATTGTTGGCCTGTAGTCTATACAACTAGGAATAAAGTCTAACTGAAACAACAGGAATAGTAGAAGACTAATATGCCAGTTATCAAGCGCTTTTTGAGGCCTATGCGACGACGTTACTAGAGCCAACAAGCATAAATTGATTTGGCCATTTCTCAACTACTCTAAGAGGCAAACATTTAAAAGTTGTAGGAGCTCTCTGAAAGATTCAAGACTTACTCTGCTTTCCATTTTTTGGAATATTTTAGAGTTTAAATTTGCGGTTCCTGGGCTTCTTGCCGCTGGTTCTTGTTGCTTGGCCATGCGTTCATTGAACATCACATTTCCTTGTTGATCTTGTCTATCATATTATACTTCTCCCGCGGCTTATATGCAAATACAAGTCAAGTCAATTTGTCTCACTTTTGTACATACATTAACAAATATAACAAAGTTATAAAAGAAATACTTGTACAAAACCACTCTAGAAGAATTATGAGAGACTAAGAACATGATCATGAATAAAAAAACTTATTTAAGAACAATATTAACATATTAAAATATTGTTAAAAGCGGAACTATGTGGTGGCAATAAAACGTAATATATAACACATATAAAACAAACGTATACTAACTATTATTCGGATGTTGACTCTGAAACATATGTACATAGTAATAATTAGCAATTACATAATAAATTACGCCTGACACATAATATATAAAAGCAGGCTTTGGCAGAATATTTTACAATATTTTCATTTGATTGCAAATATATGAATTTCTCAATATCACTATACATTTGAGATCCGTCATTAGTTTTACATATGTCGATATAAAGCGCCTCTCTTATTTGCGAATAAAGTGGACATTTAACAAGGACATGCAGCTCATCTTCAATGTTATTACTACAATTAAAACATATTCTCTCATTAAATGGTAAAGCTTCAACGACCAGTCTCAAGTTTTAGAGGAGCAACTACACATCTAAATTTGGATTTCTATAATTTTTATTATTTCAGACAGTACATAGTGTTCAGTTTTATTTTCTTTCTTAAATAGTTTATATTGTCTTTGTTTGTTGCCTTTTGTTCATGTATTGCGATTCGTTCCAAAAAACTAGCTACAGGCAACATATATTGGCCGCTAAGTTCAGAATTACAGAAATAAATCCGGTTCAATCGGCTTTTCACAAATTATTTATCCAACAAATTTCAAACTCCATAGGGTAACCTATGTTTTTTTGCTGAAGATGAAGAAATGTATTACTTATTAGTTTGGTTGCCGGAAGATATCACAGTGAAATTGAACTCGAAAACAGTTTCCGTTCAATAGATTAAATTATCCGTTGACCCAAAGCCTTCTTACCACATATTGCTTTTACACTTATTGAATAGAATACCGCCCTTGATTTATGGGCTGGATTTTATTTGTTCTATAAATACATGATTTTTTCTTTGATCTTATTTGAATAAAATCAGAGGATATTTTAACATATCAGGCTTCTTGACACTTGCGGCGATAGATCGAAAGTAAACCTGCACTACAGATGTCACTAGCTTATACAGACAAGTCGATTTCTTGCATATCAGACTGGTGATTCCGTTTATTTACTCATGCTGGAAATTTCATCTAGCACATTGGTGTCAGATGCATGTTATGCAATTCATGGTATGCTTAGGAAGACGTGAATTAACCGTTATGAATGAAGTAATTATTAATTATTTCAAGCGCCATACTTTAAGAAAATAGTTATAGGTGTACTAACAAAAATATATTTATGGAAAATAGTTTTATTAAGAAAAAAAAAATTGATGGAATATGGTAGAACATGCAAGAACATATTTTTAACGTATGTTTGCGGTTCGGATCGGAATTTACGGGTATTCCGATCTGAACCACAACATATCACAGTTAGTATAATTCTTAGAACAAGATTAAGCACTTTGTATAATGTCATAAGTCGTCATGTTGTCTCTTGGAAATGGTGTCAACTCAGTGTACTGTTGTGATGGATTCTCGTACACACCCGGAGTAGATACTTGTATTTCATGTTCATCCGATGTATTGTCATAGGTTTCGATGTTCCTGATAAAAACATAAAATGACAAAGTGTATCCCATACACTCTTTTTAAAGTGAAAATAATATTTATATTTTTAACACGCTTTGTTAATCATTATATTTCAAAACTCGTGCATCTTTATTTGGTAAGAATTATGTCAAAACAACTTTAATTCTGATGTATATCAATATTTTGAAAGTGACACTGAAATGAACGAAACGGTATTTATTTGCCAATTTATCAAGGGCAATTATTGTCTATAGATTCATAAACTAATGCTTTTACACATGACCGTTTTGATGTATTTGATTAGGAACCATCTTTTTTGCAAAACCATCTTTTAGGAGTAAAGAAAACCCTTACCCTTTAGGTGATGATGTATGGGATATTTTGGTATCTACAATAAATTTCGGTAGATTTCGGTATTTCTATGCATAGTTTATTATAATTGTATTTTTCTCTAGCAAAATTGTAAATATTATCTTTTAGAAACTTTCAAGCTTTATTAAAATGTATTTACAATTTAAGGCCTCTATTCGCTTGCTAAAGTATTTGTTTACTGAAATTATAAAACATATGTATCACGGTATGCTTATCAAAAACGTTCTAGTCTATTGAACGAAAATAAACATATAGATACGTCAGATTTATTCTGACATAAAATGTATCCCTTTCAATAATTTTTATAACTTGCACTTGTAAGAAAATAGAACATTGTTAATTGCACCAGTATGTGTCTTGTTTGCTTATCAGATGAAGTATAAAAAATATCATCGTGGCTAACATATTAATATAGAAAATATAATGATTGTTTATAAATAAATAAATAAATAAATAACAAAACAGTTGTAAGATTTCAATAAATCTTACCTTTCCTCGTTATTTTACGTTTCAACCAACATGCAATACCAACTGCACAAACAATACCAACGACAATAACCACCGCAAGTATGATTGTGACCACCACAAAAGTGTTACATTCGGCATCGACTTCATGCGGTAAGCCATCATTAACTCCAATATCAACTTTGGTGTTATCTGATAAATGAGTACGAAAAGAAAAAGAAAAAAGAAAGAAGCATATGACTTATTGAATGGTTTCACTCACAATGTTACTTTAAAAGTTTAATTATTAAATTTAAGTTTCATTTCTGAAGTGAACATGTTTGTAAAACTGTTGTATTTACATGTACATTTAAATTTGAACATGTAGTTTCCTTAACTAGGAACAGTGTATATAATTGATACCTTTTTGACCGAGAAGGTAGTAGTGATTATATGTGCCGATGTTGTTTGTAACTGTCAATCGATATTTCCCGAAGTTTTCCCGTGTAAGATTAAATATTGTAAGATTTGTTTGTAATTTTGCTGATGATATCTGTAGATCTTCATTACTGAGTAAGGGTATCCATTCATTGAAGGTCTCTTTGTACCATTTAAATCCTTTAGATCCAGGTGTTGGATATGCTATAGAAGAAAACGTTAGTGTAGCCAAAGCGCCTATTGCACTTGTCACATTTGATTTGGTGAATCGTACAGGCCTTGGAGAACCTGGAGAGTAAATATAGAATAAGTTCTTTGATACTTATAAGTTCAGCAATTTCATTGGCCAAAAAGATACTTTATTAGGATATGTACAAGGAAAAAATGTTTTAAAAATCTCCAGAATGGTTTTCTACATTTGTTGTACTGTATGTTTATAAATGTTGAATAAAAACACAATATCGCAGACAGCCCTCAAGTGGCTTTCCTGCAATAATTGTATGTTATGGAACATTATTATACCGCAAAAATAAATGCCGGGAATTCTGCAAAGCATGTTTGCGTAAAGAAAAGAAATGAACTTAAATTTGACAAACAAAATAACAGTCCGTTTTGTTATAACCCCAAGTATATCTTGTCCCTCACAAGTATATACACCACCATGCATACAAGCCACACTCGTACGAAGAAAATTTAGATTGTTTGTGTTCGTGTCCTGAATTAAAAGTTTTCCTTCGAACTTCATTTTCACATTAGAAGCAGGGTTTCCACTAATGATACATATCAGTTGCAAATCGACATCATTTTCATCAACTGTAACATTAGTTTTTCCTATATGCCCGTCAACATACAATGACTTCACAGTGGCTCGTTCTGGATAAACGAACGATGTAAAACTAAATAACTTAATACATGTATATGATTTGATTAATGATGTTTGACAATTCTCTATATAATTAATGATTAAATTATAAGACGGTGTTAAAAAGTATGAACGGTAGATTACATTTGTAAATGCCGCCCTCAGAACATCAACACTTTCATTTTTGCAGTGTTAATCGCCCTATTTAATATCTATCTAATGTAATCTGTTTTTATGTTCACGCAGTAACTTTAATAGTGATAACACTGATTTTGTTTCATCACAGACAGACAGTACCTTGTAGATAGATACAAAAAGCTTTTATTCAGAAAATATTTGAAATATTGGTGCACGTTATATAAAGATTTTAATGTCATTTTTTAACATAAAGGTTTTTGAAATAAGTTTTCAGCAACATTCATATATCATTTTATGAATAATATTTTTCATAAGCTTTACCCTTGAACCTTCTCGAATGGACTTTAGAGATATCAAATCAAACAGTATAGAGACCAGTTGACTGTATAGATTTGCATGATGGGCTATCTCTACGAGGGTTGTTCGGGAAGTTCTGAGAATTGTTTTATAGCACACGTTGTAGTCGGGTTAGCGTAAATATAAATATATACGCATTTATTTCAATATATACTGTACAGTATCTGAAAATTTCATCATCATACACACAGAAACTAAAACATAATAAAAATAGTAAATAGCCATATAACAAACACCCGGAGCACGCCGACGTCATTTGCAACGTTATGCGACGTTAAAGTCCATCGATCGTCGCACCTTTTCAACGTAGTCACCTGCACTTTCGATGCATTTCCTGTGTCGGCTGATCCACTTATTGTATGTTTCCACGTACCAGCTATCGGTAAAGGACGAGACTATAGCTTGCGTATGCTTAACAAGATCGTCAGCTGAGTCAAAGCGTTTTCCACGCAGCTGTGATTTGAGCTCCGGGAACACACGGAAGTCCATCGGAGCGAGGTCCGTGCTGTAGGATCGTCTTCGATCGAGTTTCTTCCTTCTTTAAAACGAGCATGCCATTTATACACTGTAGCCGGAATGCATTTCTTGTATTTACCTGTAGCATTGATAATTTTCATTGTTTCTGTGGAAGACTTTTCCAGCGCAACACAAAATTTCACGAAGCTTCGCAATTCAACGTCACCTATCGACGTCATGTTGTTTACTCATTGGCTCTGGGCAACAACTTTAAAACAATGTTGATCCGTTGAGAATTTAAATAACGTTATGATATTTTCAGGAAATGACGTCATGACGTTCCGCTGCTGACCAGCGTTTTCGCGCATTTTTTACGTTATCAAAATTACGAAATATTATTAGTGTAGCGCGTTATACCTTTCTTTAGAGTCGGACTGCTCCGGTGCGGCGTTATAGTGTTGCTATGGTTACTGCTTTTTCCGGCTATTGTTGTCTGATTCTATTCAATTTTTAGGAATAGTTCCGTGATATGCTAATCTTAGTTTGTGCAAAATATTACGCCATAGAAACAAAAAATATAGGAGATATGACAAAATTCTCAGAACTTCCCGAACAACCCTCGTATATCGACATCAAAATTGAGAAAATAAGAATCCGTAAAGAAAGTCCAAAATAAACATGAAATGGTGAAATTTTGAATTTTGAAACATCCGCAGATGGGTTCATACAGCGGTTATCAGAGAACCTTCGATGCGACACTTTTGTGCAATTCCATGAAAAGCGGCGTATGTTCCCCAAGTTATAGAATGTGTGCCCTAAACGAGAAAACAAGGGGCGTAATTAAACAAAATGGACTTTTGAAAGGCTAATCACTTTCGGTTCAAATAGGGTAAACGTTATCAAATAGTCATTTACTGTTGTTTTATTTTTCTGATCCTTCGGACATTTAAGTGTTGAAAATTGAGTACCGCTCAAGCCGGTGCTCAAGGGCGTCAGTGATGTTGCACTTTTTCATTATTCTTTATGTACAGACTCAATCAAACCGAGAATGCACTTTTCATGTTTTATACAAATCAAATGAAATCATGTACTCTTTACATTAAAGGTCCTTTGTGCCTCATAAATGTTACCAATTTTATTTCCCAAAAGCTTTTTTTGTATCTTGTAACGGTTGTAAAATTGATCTTGATTTGCCTCATACATGGACTGTCTTTCCACTAGAGCTCTGTGGGCAATCGGTATTGTTATATTGAATAAGTATTTTGTGTGGAAGACAAAATACGTTATTGTTTACATTTAACTTGTTACCTCTATGACACATGACTACAAGCTCAGCACCGCTTTCGTCAAGTAAAACATCTAACATGCCCTAAATTCATTATTCAAACACAATTTAACACATGTTTGACATTTCTCAAGAATTAAAAAAAATTGATTTGCTGAAGTATAATGTGCATTTAAGGAAACATTGATAATATGTACCTTTTACATTTAGTAAAACTTTGTTTGAAGACAAAGCTTCATTTTCTGGCTGAATGTTGAAGGCCTTGCAATAAACATCCTTTCCATTATCTTCAATTTTGGGAATTAGTGCAAAGTTTGCGTTTGAAGAATTTAATACTCTTTCTTTTTCTTCTTGTCCACTATACCATATAACTGTTGGCGTAGGTCTACTTTCACTAGTTGTACATGTCATATTGCTCAATATACCAACTGTAACATTGATGGTACCTACTAACGAGGTATTTCCACTTTCCAAAGACACACTTGTCACTTTTACTGTAAAATGTTAGGTGTTTTAGTAAATTACCTTACAGAAAATATGTTTATTTGTTAACAACACATTTGCCATTTTATCTGTTATTTTAAGTGTTAGAATATTTGGAATTACCCGGGTATCTTATTAAATATAAAAACAAAATTAATATAATGACAAACAATATTTGTAATCATTAATGATTTTATAAAATAAGTTTTTCATTTTGAAAAAATAAGTTTTTCATTTTGATCGATAACTAGTTAACATTCTTTAAATCTAAAATATTTTGTTAATACTTAACTTAAGAACTGTAATAAATTATTAACATATAATATATGAAGAGTATTAAAAATCAAAGCTTCATAAGTTCAAAAGAACAAACAACACGATTACCAGCAAATCTAATATTCACGGACGGTTGTGTAAGTAGTTCAGTGGTTGAATCATTTCCAGACTCTATTCCACATTGAAACCTGACGGTTTTATCGGTGTTGTCGATACCAACCGTATATCTCTGTAGTAATAATGTTGATGTGTACATGTTTTCAGAGTCTGTACATTGTCCAGTAGTTTCCTTAATAGATTGTGATGTCGGCCATACATGACGTGACTCACCAAACTGATATAACAGAAAATGCAGTTATCGTTTTGATAAAGAAGACACACTTTTATTATACATCTCGAAAGCGTTTATTCAAAGGATATCAAAGGCAAGTTTTACTTAAGTTCAAATTCAAGATACATATCTTTCATTTTCATTGATAAACTGTAACCAAAGAAATGACATTTCGTTGCCTCGTGTTGTTTTAATTCTCTTCCCAAAATAGTATCGTATAAATACTGCTATACAAAAATGGTGAGTATACCACTTACAGACTATTTGTTCTTAATTGAGGTAGCAAAATAAATTAAAATATTACCTCGGACATATACCATATAAAGAAAGGCGCGGGGTAAGCACATCCAGTACTACATTTCAATATCACCGAATTATAAATGAGATCTTGATCCTGGGTTGGGGGATCATCAAACTGTAGCGTCTGTGAGATTGCTGAAAGAAACGAACAAAACAAAAAGCTTCGTAATAGATGAATCATGCATTTCAAGTAATATAGATGTAGTTCTACATCTAGCATGTCGACTTCATAGAGATATCTGACATACAGTGTAAAAATATTTAGATTGCTTACAGTGAAATAACATAATTGATAGTTTCTTATGCACAACACCAAATAAGTTCTTCTCTTTATGTTAAATAGTTATAGTTAGTTAAAGTTTTGTTTTTCAATTCTAAGAATATATTGTTTCAGGTTATATGAATTGATGAATTACATCATTTGCTAGGGTTGAATCTTTTAATATTGATTTTATCGTTTAACCAAATATTTTTGAATATGCTTTATATGCACAGTTTGTCTGTTTTAGTAAAAATGAATGTCGACATATACTTTTGAAAATATTCTTACTGTACACCGTAACTTTCAAGTACTTTCTTTGGTTATTGATTGCACAGGTCCACCACTTCTGGTCTTCTGTTCTATTCAGGTTAGTGACTGTAATAGTAAGACCACTACTGTTTGGGCTGAATGTATGTCTTTGTATATTTCCGTAACACCGAGTTGGAATACAATATGTATATGTTGAAATAGTTGTAAGGTCTGTAGGAGGAACGGAGTCTGTTTTATGTAGCTTTACTAATTCGGAATTGTTGAAATGTGAAATTTCACATACAATTTGTATATCACTTCCTTTGATTGTTGGCTTGTAGTCTTTCACGAAAACGTTTGTCACCATGCCTTTAAAATATGATTAAAGTCCAATAGATATCTGTACATGTTAATATGTTCTATATACATTAATAGAAAACGTTTCTTTATTCAATGTATCGTACAACAGTTTTTTCTGGCGCTATCATATGTTTTCATGCAATATTGTTAAGTACATATGATTTTAAACGTTAAATAAAGTAAAACTGTATAAGTGTTAAGCATATTTGTAGTAATCTAAGGATCACTTATTACAATATATGTAGCTTTGAATATTGAATACTGCTAAAACCGATGCTGATGGACATTAGAACTGTTGAACAGACATCTTTTATTTCATTGATCTTGCAAGTTCCCCTCTTACAAAATCAGTGTTTACTATATATAAATAAATAAATAAATAAATGATAAATAAAAAATATTTCATAAATGTAATATACATCGTTTGAACGGGCCGTTTAGACTTGTACACAACTGGTGTACTTCCACAGTTAGATCAGTGGCGAAAATAAAGTAAACACAATATAGTTTCAATTCCTTACCATAATATAAGCAACAATGTATTCAAATATTACCTGATTTCCCGCCGGTTAAAATTCCTGACAAAAGAAATAAAACTAATATTACACTTAAACTATTTCTTTTCATTTTTATTGATACTGTAAAAATACATTTATGCTAGAAATATAAACACCCATAACTTTACATCACAACAAGGAAGTTTTAATACAATTTACGGACTTTTAAACTTCGGATGAAATACAAATAGTATATTTATGGATGAGCTATTCAAAAGATGTGACTAAACAGTTTAAAGTGTATTGCCTTCTTACCATCATAAACCGATCGATAAAATAACTACTAGTCGTTTGGACTAGAGTTATGGAGTCGCGTAATTTACATGTTAAATATTTAATCCGCACACGCACACGCACACGCACCAACACACACACACACACACGCACACGCACACGCACACGCACACGCACACACACACACACACACACACACACACGCACACACACACACACACACAACACACGCACACACACACAAACACACACACACACACACACATACACACACACAAACACAGATATATGTCGCAACGCCGCTAAATGTCGCACTTACAACTAAATGTCGCATCATTACCGCTAAATTCGCAATCGCCGCAAAATGTTGCACAATCGTCTGCCGTTAAATGACGCAATGGTAACGTTAAATATCGCACGATTTTCCCAAACCGTTAATTGCCGCAAAACTACCGTTAAATGTCGCGAACGTTTTATTCATGTAAAACATTTAGCTGGTGGTGTTATGTTAATAGATTTTATCATTATGTGTGTAATCTGGGGACAAAATATCTATCATGTAGGAAATGATTAGCTATAGCATTTAAAATTTATTCTTGAAACGAAGTCATCTTAGTCGGTATTATAAATTGACGACCACAATTAATGCCAAAAAGTCCCTTGGTGATTTAACACATTTGTATACACTTTTGTCTCCGGCCTTTTCGAAGTTAAGAGGTTTATATACAAAGGCTCCGTCCGTTTGTCTTGTCCGTAACTCAGCCATTCATCAAGAGATTTTTGAATAACATATATACACCAAATTAGGATGACCTGTCATGCAAAACAACTAGAACTCCACGGTGGTCCCACTTGGAGATCAAAGGAGAACATTGTCTAATGGAGGGTACAATCCGGTTTATAACTTTTTAGTCCATAAAGGTATTTGAAATAACATTGTACAAATGCTCAATATTTAAGACACCGTGCTTGCGAGATACAGTCAACATTGTTTGATAGGAATACCAATCCATAACGTTTCATTCCATGAAAGGATTTTGAAATACTATATAACACACATGTTTATCGGAATAAGATCACACGTCATACACAACACCCATAATCCTACCTCTAAGGCCAAAATTACACTTAGAGGTCAACGCTTTAAGTGGTCTGTTATAATGCCTTTTTGTGCAAGATCCACAACTTTTTATCTCATCAAAGTATTTTGAAATGAATTTGCACAAGTATTCACCATATTAAGACAATGAGTCATGCGCGACACTGTGACCTCTACCAAGGTCAAGGTCACACTGAGAGGTCAAAGCTATGTTTTCCTTGTCAAGAGAAAATCTGCGAAAGAAGAACTATTAGAGATTCCAGTGAAACTTAAAATATAAAAAGATAACAGCGGAGGGAATGCACTGCTACTCCATCTTGAATATTTTTAATAGTTTCCCGGTATGTAATTATTTTTGAAATGAGTTCGTGTTTTCAACATCGTACTTTCGACCTCATACCATCGTGGTTTACTCCGAAAGATTAAAATGGACACATTATTATTATAGTCATTATATTTCGAACTATGTTTTTACACTTTATTGCAGCAAACGTGACCTACATTAGTCATATACATTTGATATTTACTGAACTTTATTGTTAGTTTAATATACATTAAGTAAATACGACTGTGAATTGTCTCATAAATTTATGAAACCGCGCCATTAAGAAATTTCCGCCGGCTTTTAATTGCAAACACTATTAATGGCAATGATAAGTCTTTCGCATAATTTAGGCATTGAACAGGTAGGAGATATATGTGATTATATTCATTTTACATGTCATAACTGTTAGTTTTTTTACTCAAAATATACGAGGCACTGTCGTGGAAAAATGGTTATGATCAGTCTTCTTTCGCTCGTGAATGAACTCGTCACAGACATATTGATTACATTATAACTAGACCCAATCGTATTTGTAAATCGAAGTGTATATAGACCAAGTCACAAAATACTTTTGGTGTAAAAAGGCAATTTCATTCAAGCGTTTACACTTTACGATGTCGATTCTTACTTATTTTCTTAAAACAATTAAAATTATTTCATAAAATGAAGTCTCTTAGAATATGATTTGTTTTCAAACTGGTCTGAAAAAAGAGAGAATTTGACGGTGATCCACCTGAAAAGGTATCTAGTGCAGTAAAATCCTGTATTCCGTTTCTGATAGTTTGGTGCCGTTGAAATAAATGCACAATTTGCAGAAAAGTGGTCCAAAGGGGTGTCCCTCAGAAGCTATAATCACAACCAAATCACATGAAAAATGCAGACTCGGTTTGATTGAGTCTGTACATGTGTAACACCTCTCACGCCCATACCTTCGAAAAGCGGTTCTCAATTTCCAACACTTAAAAGTGCTGGAATCAATTATTAGTGATTGCATTTTAAGACTGGCAAAACTTTCAGATGTGTTAAGATTGCGGCCTATAAATATAAACATAAGACATATCATAACGGCGTGTATATTGACATTATCATACAATAATTGACTAGTGAGCCATTGAATATAAGGAGGATATTTTTTCGTTTGCGTGAAATATGGTATATATTTCTACTCAACATGATAAAATGCCACATATTTTCACTAGCCGTACCGGCTCGTGAAAATATGTGGCATTTTATCATGTTTCGTGAAAATATATACATGTACCATATTTCACGAAAAACGAAAAAATAACCTATTTATTTAATTTCATTATCAAAGAAAATGGTAACGAATCCCCTTGCTTGCTACCAACTGCAATTGTACAGCGCGCAGTAATTTATGCGTAAGCACGCGCTGTTTGGGGCTACATTGTGACGTCATGTAAACAACTCTTTAAACGTCTGTACAGCGTTAATTACTGAATTAAAGATATTGGTGTTCGGATTAATTTTCTTAGTAAGACCATTTTCTATCATGCTAGATAGTTTTCAAAACAAAATTCAAGAAAAAGTTGTTTAGTATTTATTAGATTTTTCAAACAAAACGGCGAAAGAAGTCCCTTAAAATAAATATCAGTTTTGACTCCGCCCACTTTCATATTTATATTTCATATTTATTTTTTAAAAATATGAAATATATTTAACTGATATAGCACCATATTTCATGGGTAAAATTAAACTAGATGTGATATTCACCGGCAAATAATAATAATAATAATTACCACATTTTTATAGCGCCCTTCTCAAAAAATAAAATGTTCAAAGGCGCTTTACAATGTAATTATATACATTTACAATGACTTTAGAAACAAAAGAAAAGTAATAAAAATAATAACACACATATATGTATACATTTACAGAATATAAAATATGCCATGATTAATCTCAAAGTCTTAAACTCAGTCGATCAAATAAAAAAATGTACATGAAGAATAATCTAAGACTTGAAAATTAAATAAAGAGAAACATTAAAACTATTAAAATTAAAAAAGTACAAATCAAGATAAGACAACTGAAATCTAAATCCAATTTGATAAAACAGTAATCAATAATTGAAATGTGATTCAAAAAATGACATATTGACCGAGGCGCTGATAATTGTTTTATTATATGAATAGGCTAAGAAATAAAAAGAAATCACAAAAAAAAAAAAAACATTATATACATGTACAAATTTTGCCTCGTTGAAGCGCGTAACAAAGACGCACATGTAAGGCGTGCATCGATTATGCGAACGCTGCCCATACAAAAATAAAATAATTCAAGTTTATACTCATCCTAGCGGTGTAGCCTTTAATAATTATAGTAAAATAATGATATTTTAATCGAGCAATATGCAATAAAGAACAAAAAGCAACAATTATTTTTAATTAACACGCGTAATGAACAGTCTATTGTGTATGATCATTGAATATTAGTCTCAATCTATTTTTAGACTGGAAAATTCCATTTCAGCCAATGAATATGATAGTACACACGGTGAAAATGATTTTATAAAAAGTTCTGGTGACTACTGCTTGGATCAATGAGATTGCAGCTATATTTAGATCATATAATAATAGAAATTATGAGAAGTTTACTAAATGTATATTACTAATAGAAGTGACATGTGTGGTAAAATGATAGTATGAATTCTTTGAAATATAATGAAATATAATGATTAAAGCAAACCAGTTTTATTGCCAGCGATTTAAGAACCTTTTTAAACATGTTTTTGTTTCATTGGACAGCTATCAGAACTCGACTTGCTAAAACAACCAAAGATTTGCGAATTCTTGTTCTTCTGTGGTAAATGACCAGTTTATTAACACTCAACGAGTTCATAACACTTTGATGGTTGCAAATACCTTAAATGCGTGCTTTGATTGTGCTAGCAAACATTTAGTTACATTTGTAACAAAGCAACAATATTCAAATAAGTAATAGAAAGAGAACCGAAACACGAGGCTATCTGATTTGTACGAGGGGGCGTAGCCCCCGAGTATTAATCATATTGCCGAGTGTTTTGGTGTTCTTTCTCTTTTGTATCATAGTCAAACATAAAAACACGTTCCCTGTTGTCACAATATGAAACCCCGGCAAAAATGGACCAATGAACGAACATCTGAATATGATATTTCTGTCGCTTTCCCTTTCTCTGCCGTCACAATATGTAAACCCCAGCAAAAATGAGCCAATCAATGGGCATGCTCTGGAGTGCGGGTAACTAATACCCGCACTCCAGTTAACGCACTGTGCATGTATATGTATACGATTTAACCATGACACATTTTCAACAGAAAGGTCTCCAAACTATGATACAATATAATGATTGACACTGAAGTGTCATGTTGTATAAACACCAGCCTGCCTGATTATGTCAATAACGAACGTGTTTGAGTCCAAATCGTGGTCTTTCCATAAAAATACGAAAGGGTTGATGTCCGGGGAGGATGCCTTTAGCGCCACAACTTCTTCACTTATTGCAGTTACACTAAGTGGTGGGAGCCTATAGGCCTCCGTAAAGGCAATGCGGTGCCGGT